CCCCTTAATAGCCCCCTATAGTAGTGGTTTAGGGTTTAGGGATATTATCCCCCATAATGGAGAATCAAATGGAAAAGAAAATGGAAAATGAAATGGAAACTGGGATTATATTGTGGATTATAGGGGTTATAGTCTAAACTCCTAGTATCCCCCTTAATAGCCCCCTATAGTAGTGCCCTGTATATTCCCCTATGTAACTCCCTTTTAGGAGTTTAGACTATAGCTCATGTGCAGCGCGTGCTGGTGTCAGTGTTCCTAACCCGATCATCGACCTGAGGCATTAAAATTGTTCTCTAATACCAGAAATCTAAACAGGGCTCTAGGCTGAAATCACCAAAGAAAACATCCGATCAACAGAGCTCGGTCTTTTGCCTGCAGATTGGCCGAGCAACTGTCATCGCCTGCAGCTTAGGGCCCTCAGCCGGGGAGTGCATCTTCGTAAGCAGCGCCGAGCCCCCAACGTACATAAAGTTCCAGGCCTGGGACTGCAAAGTAGAAAGTCCCCAAGAAAGAGCACAAGCCACCTTGCACGCATGGCACATTTTTGAAAAAAAGTGCGTATCTGGACATACAGTCGGCCACCTATCGTGCCGGAACGAAACACTACCGACTAGAGCCTGACAGGGCTGGATCCTAGTTACCGAGCTGTCCACTACTTAATCCTTGAGGTGAAAGTTGTCCTTCCAAAGTGCCCACGGCATCATTGCTGCCAGGGGTGCGAAGCCGAGAAGGATCATGCCGAACACAAAGAACAGGAGCTCAGTGCCAAGATAAAGCCTCAATGTGCACAGTCTGTCACTGACTGAAGACTCGAAGCTGAAGGCTACTCGAACTTAACAAGCTGAAGAAACTCACGGATGCCAAATTTTTACCCGGGGCACACAGTCGAAGTCATGGCAGCACACAGCAGCCCGGCGAAAATTACTGGCACCGTCCCCACTCGCGCAATGGCTTTCCCAGTAAGGGGCGATGGCGCGAACATGCAGAACCTGGCAACGGCAGGGATAATGGCATGCATCTTCTATGAACGTACTGCATCATGGCCTCTGGTTGTAGAAGCTAGTCGACACAAATAGCCGGATTTCTATATGGTTCAGGCGATACGTGTATCAAAAATGTGCATTTATACATGCATATATGTATACATTCATGTATTCGCATGGGTTACACGGCGTAACCCGGCCCCTGCGTTTTGAACGTATTCCGCAAGAGATTCAATTGACTACGTTGATTAATGAATTCATCATATCTACCCCTCTCATTCATTGCATCAACTTCTTCATTTTGGTTGATTCGAGTAGGGCACCTGAGTGCGAATCCAAATCACCTCACTCATCCATTTGATTCATGAATTTGATTAATTGGATTTGGGGGGGATCTTAGCCTGAATCTAGTTCACCCTAAACCCTAAACCCTAAACCGCGTTCTAATGACTACAAATCATCGACTTGATTTCATCAAGAATCCTGAGCCTGAATCCAACCAACATACAGATTTGATCGACTTGGTTCATAAAGAAAGAGATAAACTACCAGCAACAAGAATATAGTTGTCGTGTCTTCCTGTCGTCTTTTCTTCCTTCTCTTGCTGTCGTTTGCTTCTTCATTTCTGTTTTCCTGTCCCCTCTTTCTGAATTACTTTGATGGCTATGGTGGCTACTCTCTGTTTATCTGTCTTTCTTTCTTTCAACCATTTGTTCTCTAAACCCTAAACCCTAAGCCTCTACGACCCTGAATATTTCTTGCTTTCTTGGTTTCTCTATGTCTTTCTTCCCTGCTCTCCCACTCCACACCAGCTCGTCCGTCCCTCCTTCATGGCCTGCATCTACGGTAACAAAGCACAGCGACCCAGAAAAAACCCTAAACCCTAAATCCTAAACACTAAACCCAAACACGAACGAAAGATTCAAAAAACAACGATGTTTCCCGCCAGAAGCCAACAAGTTGATCGACCCAAATAGTCTAATTGAATCAACCCTAAACCCTAAACCCTAGGCTAGTTAGCTCACATTAGGGAGCCTCGGCTTGAATCCAACTAATCTACGAAATTCATTGCTTCACTTGATTTCAGCAGGGAGCCTGGGCCGGAATCTGGTCAACTTGGCAGCTTGATTTGTTAGGTTGATTCGGTATTTTCAGATCACAAAGCTGTCATATAAGTCGTATCCCCCTCAATAAACCCTATAGTAATCCCCTACATAATCCCTTATATAACCCCTTTTAAGGAGTTTAGACAACAGCTCATATGTTGTTAATCACGTCTCATGAGGGGCCTGAGCCTGAATCCAACTAATCTAATCATTCGAGTTAGTCCAGCAGCTTTGATTAAATCACCTAAACATGAATCTACTGAATCTAATTGATGCAACTCGTCCGATCCGTCGAAGGCAACAGCCAGCACTATATAATGTCATTACTTAAGCGAACCCAATTGACCAAAATAATCCAACTCATGTCAATATTAGATGTAAGGTTGCTTTGATTGAGTTGACTACAAGGCCAGTAAAGTGCAACTCTAAACTTTACCCTGCACATGTCTGAAAATGGAAGAAGCCAGGAAAGCATGCTTTTTGGTCTGCGTTCCCGGCCTTTTTTCAAGAATGAAATTGAATGCAAATCATCATGGAAAAGGCCAGAAGCCCCTAAACCCTGAACCCTAAAACAAAGATGTGTGACACATCACCTAAAGGGACTGGATAGCAAACCATCCGATGGACCTACCTTTTTTTTGGTGTGGGTTCAGGCACATTCAACCAGACTATATTTGGATGTTTTAGATCGCTAAATGCCCAAAAAACCGAAAATTCTATATCAAAAAAGAAATTGCAAAATAGAACTAACAATGTTCAGGATGTTTGGAATTTCAAAATCCCAGCACGTGATTCCTTCCTCCAGTTTTGGAGTTTTTGGAGTTTTTGGAATTTTCGGAATCGCGCAATCCAAGAATGCCAAATATTCCCCATATAAATGTGTGTTCCTAAGACTCTGAACATTCCAAAACTGGACGATGTATGACCTGCATTCCAGAATACTGAACCATGGATGGTGAGATTTGCAATTTAGGGTTTACGGTTTAATGTTTAGGGATTGGAATTTGCGGAGTTTTCGGGGTTTCCTGGGTCCGCACAATCCAAGAATTCCAAAAAGTTCCAAAGCGGGACGAACCATGTCCTGGATTGAAAAACCTAAATCATAGGTGGCGAGACTTTGGAATTTCTGGTGGAGCTATCTTGAAAGTTTCGGAACTTTCGGAATTTCCCGAGTCCGCAATCTAAAAATTCTAAAGCATGAAAAGTACCAAAATCTCACCACCTGTGCTTTTGGATTTCGACATAGATTGTTGAAGTAGATGTCTGTTGAACATGCCTGAAAATGTCAGGATACGGAATCTACACAGGTTTTGAAGCGTAGTCGCAATGAATACCAACAGCATATACTAGAATATGACAAGAATAACTAAAGACCAGGGGGTGAGTTACGCCACGTAACCATATATACATGTACATACTTGCTAATTCATCCGAAAACCTATCTGCATGAGCTCAGGCAGATTCAAGCATCTATCAGCACCCCTTGAAAACACACAAAAGGGGACAAATGTTCTTGCAGCTAAGGTACATGTGCCCTGTCATTGTCAAAGTGGATGCTGTGAAAGAATGCGAATAGTAGTTCTTCATGACAGCCGGAGTGGGAGCCATCAGTATCAGCATCATGCTATATGAGGACACCACCGCAACTATAGCTGCACCGCAGAGTGGCTGGAGCACTATCCTCACGTTCATCAAAAATTAAAGAGGCAGTGCCCCAGCTTTCCAGCATCAATCCCCTGAGTTGCACACATGAGCTATAGTCTAAACTCCTGAAAGGGGGGTTATATAGGAGATTATATTTGGGACTATTATAGGGCTTATTAAGGGGGATACTAGGAGTTCAGACTAAAGCCCACATAGACCCTGAACATCCTTGAGCCCTAAAGTAATGACTCCCGGCCCACATTCCCAGGAGTCCCCCTAACTCATGCGCTACAGATTCCCGTATCTTGCAGCACGTAGGGTTTAGGGTGTAAGGGTTTGGGTTTAGGGAAACTCTGAGGGACCTATGGCAAGCTCAGGCTCTGCGACAAGTACCGCTGACCAGCCGCAGTTTTGGGCTGAGAGGTCTCAGGAAGCTTCACAAAGCCCAGCATGAGCAGCCCAAATAGGTTGAGAATTCCACCGCACCTAGGCTTCAGGGTTTGAGGTTTAGGGGAGTCCTATAGGGTTTATGTTGGGGTTATATTGGGATAATGGAGAAGAAAATGGAAACTACTATAATGGGTTTAGGGTTTAGGGTTTAGGCGAGTCAGTGGAAAAGGGGCAGTTCTATCAACTTCAAGTGGTCATCAGCATTTGACTCGAAAACTGCTTCTCGTGTGACGAGCATAGACAAGATTGCCAATGCTTCTGTCATTGCAACTCAGTCTATTAACTCTGAGCTGACAGCGTGAAGAAAGGACTCACAGCCGAAATCCCGTATCGCATGCAAACAGTTCGTAGAAAGTAACATCATATCATCTGGTAAAGCCGAGGTGCAAGTAGACTCCCAAGAACGGCACAGGTAGCCTGTGCTCAAGGCTGCAAACTCATGGCATGGCGTATGCTATGCATAGTGCAAGCAGGTAGCAAGTCATGTGCCTGAGAGATAGCTCCGGGGCCCAGCAGTGCCTGGGCTGAAAGTTTCCAAGCATCAGCTGCAGCTCACAACAGCCATGACCGGCCATGTATGCAAAGTCGCCCCGACCACGCCGCCGAAGAGCACCAAGCTAATAGCCCGCGGTGGATTCGAAGGCATTGCTTGGATAGCTCCGAAGCGGTAGTTGGCCGCATGCGCGAAGCTGTACCCTGAGACGTGGCTCAGATCGGCAGGGGATGATGGGTGATAATGGCTCGGCCAGTCACACAACCTTTCGTGTAAGGTCCCTGCCCATGAGAGCGGCGCCCAGGCATTGCAGGTTGAAATCAAGCAGCCAGCAGCCCAATGCAAGCGCGCCGCAACTGACCAGCCCAATCGCGGCTCCCATTATGTACCTCGGCATGGGATAAACCGTTGCGGAAGTCACCAAAGGCCCGTTTTTGGACGAGGGGCATGTACTTGCGACCGAGGTAGCGCACCTTTGTTGTAAGAGGTTGAAAGCACATGAGTTGCCAAATGGTGCACACCTGCGAATCCACCTGCCACAAGTGAGCTGCTGGCTTTTGTCGGAAGTGCTACGGTGCCCACACCTGACACGGCAACATTTCAAGGAATTGACAGTAATGCACTCAGCCCTGGCATGTCCTTGCATCACCAGCGCCAGGCCCAGGGGGAGTGTCTCCAACTCAGTTTTGGGGGCGGTAGGGGCCACTGCCAGCGTCAGTGTGGCCACATTGGATGCAAAGATCGCAAAGGCGGCAGCCCATGCTCCTAGTGAAACTGCTGTCAAACCTTTCATACCCCACCAGCCCCCTATATACCACGATATACTCTAATATAACATAACATACTATAATCTACCAAAATATACTATAACATACCATAGTATACTATAATATACCATAGTATACTATAACATACCCTAATATGCTATATTATACGATGATCCGTGCTTTTCGGGGCCTGAAAGCAAGAGCACAGACGTCCGATCGTCGGCTGGCAGGTCCAGCTTCACAGGCTCTTCGAAGCCGCTCTTGCCCGACACCATGTCAGCAAGAGAAGTTCTACCGGTGGTTCTCAAATTTAGGGGTATAAATCAGAAATATATAGGGTTCTCAAATTAAGGGGTATAAATCAGGAATATATAGGGCTCTCAAGTTACGGGGTTTAAATCAGGATTATATAGGGGTAATATATGGGTTATGTGGGGATAATGGAAACGAAAAAGAAACTACCATTAATGCTACGGTCCTCTAGGGAAGTAGCAAAGCTGTGTTTGTCACGAACGCCCAAGGGTCAGCAGCGTCTGTCTAGATGTTGCTGAAGAAGCTCAAGACAAAAGAGGCGATAGCTGAATGAGCCAGGAACCCAGCGCGGAAATAACAATCTTTTACTATCCCTATATAACCCGTATATACCCCAGTATAACCCCATAGCTTTTTCCATGTTCTTTTTCATTATCCCTATATAGCCCGTATACGTAAGCCTATAGGATTGTGACAGTCTCACAGCAAGAAGGCTGGACTCACTGGAAAGGATCAAGATACCCCGCAAGCTTCACCTCTATCCTTCACCTCTCGGCCTTGAACTTATAGGGTCTCATATAGGATTTATCAAGGATAATGGAAGAGACATCAAAACTACTATAAGGGTATACACGGGCATATTGCACTTATATGGGGATAATGAAGAAAGACAACGGAAACTTCCATTTTGGGTTGAGGATTTCCGGTTTCCCTGGCAGCTGACCCGCCTCGTGACCTGCCTCTGCCTCAGCAAGCTGCTCGCAGCGTTGGCGGTCTGCTGCTGCAGCGCCTTGAAGCAGACAAAGATGATCTGAGCGATAGTCTAAACTCCTAGTATCTTCCCCTAACAACCCCTATGATGCTCCCCTATATAATCCCCTATACAGTCGCCCCTGAAGGAGTTGAGACTATGGCTCATCTGAACCTTGACACCTCGAGAAGCCAACTGTCCCAATTGTAAGAGCCGCTCTTCCAACAGTGTCTCTCAATCTTGCGAGCTCTGCCTCAGACTGAAGCGTTTGACACTCGGGGACATCAGTGGCAACTAGAAGTGAGCACACTGGATGTGTACGCAAGATACGTGAAGATACACTGCATCCTGCTGGCCTGCTGCATCCTGCTACCTGAAACGCCATGAGCTCAGGCCTACACTTCTAGGTCTTCTTTTTCCTGCCCAACGTCGGCTAGCCTGATCTTTCAAGACTGAGCGTCAAGCAGATCCCGCAAATAGAAGGTCAGCTTCTCAACATGATTGTTATGCGAAGAAACACTGAGGAGCGTGCGCTTCTCGCAGGGCACTGCCATCAGTCTTCACGGCCTGGCAACACGCGTTGTCTACCGGCCAAACTGTGCCGGATACTCAGGCCAACACGATGCACAAGCACCGAAAGAGCTACAAAAAGAAGAAAAGCCCAAACAGTGCCTCCAAGCTGGTTTGCAAGCCTGAGCTGGCCTTCATCTGCCTGTTGTGACTGGTCTGCGCCTTGCGCGCCTGCTCACCTGCCCACAAGTGTTTTCGCAGTTCTGGATGCCGGGGATTCAGAGCTGGCATGGCTGACTTTACCTCCCTTATGAGGACTTGGTTTTTCGCACTGTAAAGATCCAGGCTTTGCATCCCCAACCCAAACATGCTGGCCAGGAATGAACATGAACGCTCACGGCGCCCTGCATCAGGTATTTACAAACCAAGCACACCGTTGGTACGGCGTGCACTCTCAGACTCCCGAATCACGTAGCTCAAGATGGCCCTCAGCTAAGCTGGAGTTGCTGTCACGCAACTTACTGGTTCTTAGTAGGGAATAAGGAAATACAGTCCCTGTAATTCAATCCCTTTAGACTATGTTCCCCCCTGCTAAGAACTAGTAAGACAAGTACGTAACAACTGGCTGAGGCAGCCAAGGAGCTCGTTCGCCTCTTCTTCCAGGCACGCAGTGCATCTTCACATACGTGCATGCGCTTAGCGGTCTTGCCCTCGCACCTTAGTACACTATAGTAGTTTCCAGTTTATTTCCATTATCCCTATATAGCCCCAATATACTATAGTAGCTTCCATTTCATTTTCCATTATCCCTATAGAACCCCAGGGTTTAGGCTTTCGGGCCACAGCCCACCAGAGCAGCAATCGGCACTTATCTTTTCCCGCCTGCCGCAATGGCAGCACATGAAGCCATCGTAGTTCCCTTCATGCTCCAATTTTGTCTTGCCTTAGCTAGTAAAGTGTAAAGTGATCATTGTCCGGAGATTAAGGCCACTGGCATGGACCCATTTGAAGTCCGAGCTTCGAAAGTTCTCGGAGAACAATATGTAGTGCAGTAGCGTGCCACATGCCACCGAGCGATGGCGTCCTGACTTGCAGTAAAACACGATCTTGATGGAGGCCTGTCCTGAGGTCCAGGAACTTGCAGAAAACACGCACATTGGAGTAAGCATTCTACACGAAAATCGGATCCGCAAAAAGGGCAAAAACAAAGCTATGTTCCCTCTAGACTGGGGCGACCATCATGCCCAACATAAGAAGTGTGTATATGTTTGGATGCATGTAAGACTTGAAGATTCCGCGGGATTCCTTGTGGCGGTCACACACACAACAGAAAAGCACAACCTCAAAGCATGACTTCGTAGTTTCCCAAAATAGGGGGACCCCATATACTCTCATCCTTTTCTGGGGACCCCCAAAATGGCACCCTTAATCTCAGGAAACCCCCACTGAAGTATGTTCCGGGTGGCTCTGCGATAGCTGCTCCACAATGCGTCTGCGCATGCTGACCATCAACTCTGGAAAAGCGCTATGTCGCCTCCGTCGGTCCTACTCTGGCACTGGAGATTAAAAGGACAAAACACCCAGAAATAACCAGAAGGTATTGAATTGGAACAATGCAAAAGTGATGTCAGCACATAGGAAAGGGACAGGATGCGGCTGATAATCTCATCATGGCGTCCGTCGTGAAATTTCAATTCCCCAGCGCCGGGGTCATGGAAGTCGCGTACGTCGAACACAATTGCCTGACCGGGGTGCAGACTGCTTGCACATCCAGGAGAGACTGAGGAGAATGCATTCATTGGCTTCTATGTCCTGCTCCTGCATGTGGTGCTTGTTGAAGCGGTCCTTGCCGCAAGTTACTATCCTCGGCTGAAAGCTTGGAAACTTGGAAAGGTGGCCACGAGCTCAGCACCTCTGAAACAAGATAGTAATAGCAATGATAATAGCAATAATACTAGAAACAACCATAGTAATGATGATAAATAGTAGTAGTAATAACAACAATAATAGTAGTAATTCTAGTAATAATAGGAATAAGTTCTTCAAAACTAAAAAGTCATAATAATAATAATAATAATGATAATAGGTGATAATAATAGGTAATGATAGTTCTAGCAATGCTATTACTATTCTTCTAGTAATGATACTGCCAAGAAACTGGAAGGAAACCTGGCTCTTGTCAAGCTCCAGCGACTCCAAGTCGTCGCAGGACAACTCCATTGGTTCCATCTCTGGCAGGCCTATTAGGGTTTAGGGTTTAGGGTTTGGGGTTTAGGGTTTAGGGTTTAGGTGGACCCCCCACCCAGTAATAAGGGGCTTTATAGGGATTATATAGGGGCTTTATAGGGATTATAGGGTATATATTGGGGCCTATAGGGTTGCTGTTAAGGACCTTAACTTGAGTTACTATATTGGGGGAACTATATTAGTTACTATATATACCTTAGGTGGACCCCCCACCCAGTAATAGTGACTGTAAGGGATAACAGGGATTATATTAGGTAATTATATCATTAAATAACTTAATTAGTTTAATTAATTTAAGTAATGAAATTAATTCGTTTAACTAATTAGGGTCTTCTTATATTCTTACTATACCACTATTACAGGGTGGGGGGTCCTCCTAACCTATACATTTGGGTGTAGAGTCTAGGGTAGGCAAAAGCTACTCCCCCAGCAGAGCTGACCAGATACCAGCACGTGGCATGCTCTACAAACAAAAACTTCAAGAAAACCTAGGTCTGCTAAAGATTTGCTCCAGTTTTCTCGAATACTTCCTTTTTTCATCACTGTTATTCTTGCTAATAGAACTACTAGACAGGAGCAGCCGTGCCTTGCTCCACATCTTCGTCAAGGCCCCAGCTGCCTTCGTATGATGGCTGTTCACCATCCTCAGTCACAATAGTAATGTCAATAGTAAGTATAATTTAAAAATGATAATAGCAAGAAAAAAATAGTACCTGTAATAGTTATAATAACAGTAACTATAGCAATTATACCAATAAGACTAAAAATGGAAAGTATAATTGAAAATATAATAGTCATTGGGGAAGACTGGAGCAAACTTTAGAAGCAAATTGAACAAGTTTGAGGCTGCACCTTGTGGTCCTACTGCTTTTTTTTGCAGAACGCGTCGGAATACAAGCCCACGCTTTTAGCCTTCATGACAAGATATAGTGTGGGTCATATTGTGAAACAAATTGAAAAGAATCTACGTAGTGATGTTATCACAGGATGACACGACCTCTGCGCTGTTATCTCTCAAGTACAGGATCCAAAGTGCCAAGGCCAAGGAAACTGGGAGGAGTCATAGTGAAGCTAGTGAAGCAGGGAGAGAGGAGGCCCTCAGGAGTAGCAAAATATATGTTTTGCCCCCCCCCTCCCCAATAAAGCCTTTTAAGTGTCTCCCATGCTCCCCCCAGAACCTCCTAAGGGCCTCCCTACCGCTCTCCCTTCAAGACCTCCAAGCCTGAGGAACTTTTTCGTTTGGGCTCGCTACCATGCATGAGAAGGATTTTCATATATTTACTACTATTTTTGAAAGCCCCTTGCATAACCAAATACAACAAAATCAAACAAGTCCTAGATGTTACAGCAAAGTGTTCCATGAGGCCCACCCATACCCTTACAGGAGTTCTCTTGCTGCATCATTATACAAGCTCTCACGAAGATATCCATGTTATACTTGCTTTTATTGTTGGAAACCGCTTGCATGGTCATATCCAACAGATTTGAAAGGTCTTGGATGCAATACCACAGTTGGCCAATTGGTCCAATTTCTCCCGGAGGGGAAGCCGTTTTCACTTTGCATACTGGGGTTCTTCGCGAAGCCTCCACATGAGATAGCAGGCTTTGGAGGTAATCATATAAGTGATGAGCCGTGCACGTGGATTTGAAGTACCTAATCGTGACAAGAAAGATATAGGCACATCTATATCAGCATAAGCGAGGTAATGCGGAAAACTACCTCAGAATAAATGGCCCTGTGAGGCATGTCCATTCCACTTGATGGCAACTTAAGGGGGACTTCCATGGCACCTTATTTTACAATTTAGGTGGCTATCTGCATTTACAATATCCAGGTTCCTGCGTGGGCATCTGCATGCAGAGATGGCGATGTAAGCAAGACCTCTATATGAAACGATTAGGAGGCCTGAAGGGCTTCCTGGATGAAGTCTAAACAATGTTGAGAGCCTGTCTGGAGACCATGATATTGAAGACAACAACATAGGAAGATTCAATATGGGAGCCAATGATTTTTACGCCTGTAACCCTAAAAAATATCCGTGAAAAGTGTAAGTTCTCACCGAAAAATCTGGGCCCGTATTCCGACACGCGCTCTTTTTTGAGGTTGTCCGAAGAGCCATCAGCATTGCTGTTGTGGCGGGTGTTCTGCCTGCATTATTGCCGGATGTTTACTGTAACACGACAAAAGCACGCCGAAAATGTGATATGAGCTTTCAGACTTTGCTGACTTTATCCCATGATGTGGCGGCTTTCCAAAATCATCCGCAGCTTCGTGTCCGGTGAGCAGTCAAGATTCACAGAGTTGCAAGAGACACTAAAAGCAAGAGACTTCCAGAAGAACCAAGAAGAACCAATCGTGGCAAGTATCTGAACAACGCTCCCACTCGTTGGCCAGGCCGCCATTGTCTTTGAATTTCCACCTAGAGGAACAGGCTCTCGGAGCACGTCTCGCTGAAAATCCTATACTGCTGCAGGGCATTGCACAATGCGCCTCACTCTGTGCTGGCAATCTGCCAGCCTCAGCGTGAAGTGCCTTTTGCCAGGCCAAACCAGGCAGTCTAGAGTTTTGTCGTAGGTCACCGTGACCTGGTCAGTTCATTCTGATGGAAACAAAATCAAATCGCGCATGAAGCCGCAGAAATATTGAACCAAGCGACATTCATCTCGCTTTTGCTTTTTTTGGGGCTGTACATCTTCACGACCAAACTATCTGGCTTGGCTGAGGACCAGCTGACGTTGTAGCTCTTGCCTGGACAACATCTTTCCTTGTCCCTCACATTTGGCATCATGCATGACTTTGCACCTGAATACATATCCATCTGTGTCGTATTTTGGAATCTGTATTGGGGTCCCCTGATATGGAAACTACCAAATCCCAAGCACCCGGAACCAGAAGGGTGAAAGAGCATGCTTGTCAATCCGGTACACCGTCGAAATTGCTCATCCCCCTCGCAGAGCTTATAGTCCCCCTTAAGTAGATAGAATATAGCTTTGGGTATATTATGATAAGATCCCATGTTCCCAATATTCCGTCTGCGTAAGGGAGACTACAACCCCAATATATACCCTGTTATACAGTAGTTCCCATTTTCTTTTCCATTATCCCTAGAAGCATCGGCTTTCTTGACTGCCGAAATTGACGTCTTGTCGTACTGTACGTCAACGTCTAAGCTTGCTGGTTGAGCTTGGATATGTCTAGAACATGAGGGGGCAGGATTCCGAAATAGAAGCTTCCTTTGCCTGTTCCATTATCCCCATATAACCCCACTTTCTCTTCCATTATCTCCATATAACCCCCATGTAACCCCTCTACAACCCCTATATAAGTAGATGCCCGAGCAGAGACAAGCCCAAGCGCCTTTCATCTTGCAATCCAACCATTTTCCGATCAAGAACTCCCATTGCTCTTTGAACATTGCTATTTCTGCAACATGACCGTTGCTGCTATTGCTGCATCGCGTTGGACATCAAGGGTTTTGGGCTGAATTTGGCTGATACTTTTGCGTGGCTCTCATGCAACTGTGAAGCAACCTTCTGCTAACTCTGCAGGCAAGCTGACCATTGCACGCCACTTTCTAAACTCGGGCAGCTGATATGGGCGTGTAAACGGCTGCCGCGTAATGGGGCGCACGGACTGCATGCTGCAACAATTGACCACGCAGCTTCAGCGACAACTCCCATGGCTGGCAAGCAGATGCAAGCAACACATGGCAAACTGTTGCCTTTACAACATATGGTCACCTTGCATGCGCCCTGCTGCTAGAAAAGCAGAAGCAGGAATGCAAGGGACGTACCAGCACTGACGGCAGATAGCATGCAAAATGACAGATGAGGACCTGCACTGCGACACAACAACAGAATAAAATGGGCCTAGCTCCGTGGTGCTGGCCTTGCAGTCAGCACATCTGTGCAATAATAGTAATGGTAGTAACAGTACTAATAATTGTAGTCATGATGATAATAGCAATAGTAGTAATAGTAAGAGTAGTAGTAATAGTCATAAAAAGGGTAATGACAATACTCTGCTCTGCACAACTTAGTCACGAAGGTGGCTAGATGACTGTCAAGGGGCCGAGGTCTCGCTGAGCTCTGTCCGGGTCTGCTCCAGCCTTGACATACCAAGGCACGAGGAGTGCACAACAACTGATGCAGGCTTGCGTAATCCTGTGTACAGAGTCATACCATGGTCTATAGGCATTTCCGTGATGAAGGAAAAACTTGAAGCTGCAGCTTTATTGGGGCTATGTAGGGATAATGGAAAATAAAATGGAAACTACTAGGGTTTATAGGGATTCCATAGGGCTTACATATTCAACCATTTGGGTACCCTTGCCTCGTGTTCACGGCTTCTTGCTCGGCCTCTGCGCCTCGAGATTCAAACCACGGCATGCAGATTAGCCTGGCTGCGGCTAAGATCCTTTCACCTTCTACGTTTGGTCAGCAAGAATGCGAGTGCAGTTGCTTCATGCAGATTATTACTATTCCTAATATTAGTATTATTACTATTATTACTATTCTTACTATTATTACTATTATTACTATTATTACTATTACTAATATTATTATTATCATTACTATTACTATTACTATTATGCATGAAGTCACTTTGCAGACTTGCTGAGCCGCATACTCTGCTCGGCCTGCTGCACCTTCGTACAAGCGGCTGCCGGAATGTGAAAAATCAAATGGAAACTACTGGATATATTCGGATTTCATGGAAAATAAAATGGAAACTACTATAGCATAAAGGGGTGTATATATATATATATAGGAGTATTACACGGGTTATATAGGGATTGTATAGGAAACCTCTATAGTACAATAGGGTATATATAGGGGTTATATAGGGATTGTATAGGAAACTACTATAGGGAATATATTGGGGTTGTACATATGGGACTATTATAGGGGATAATGGAAAAGAAAATGGAAACTAGTATAATGGGTTGTTTCATGAACACACGTAAGCGGCTGCCGCTGGTGCCAGGCGATGGTCAACAACGCACTCAGGACTCATGCAAGGACTGGAAGGTGAATCTCCCGCTTCAAGCCTCCTCCTCAAGCTTCTTCGCAGCCTGCAGCAACAGCAAACCCGGCTACACGCGAATCAAAAATGTTGGAAGCGGAGACTCTTGCAAGTTCCATGCTCGCGGAACTGTGATCAATTATGATCTTGACCTGCCTCGCGCCGTCTTTGGGCCAGTGCCCTGGCTTTGTCCGACTCCTGCTGGGCCTGGCTATTGCCAATGAGGGACAATGGAAAATGGAAACTACTACAGTATATTGGGGGGTTATATAGTAATAATGGAAGAGAAAATGGAAACTACTACAACATATCGTGTGGTTATATAGTAATAATGGAAAAGAAAATGGAAACTACTACAGTATAATTGGGGGGTTGTTCTGAAGCCGTCTTTTTTGCTTCCCCAATCAGCTTCGGCTTCCCCTACTCTTGCAACGCGCACCTGTCGCGCTTCCTGCTGCATCTGCTGTTGACTCGGCAGAAAGGCCTGGCTTCATGACAGGCATGGTCATGGTCCGCACATGGTAGTTTCCCTGAATTACTGTTCCCGAAATGGGGGAAACTAACAAAGGGTCCTGTATTATAATGGGAACCCAAAT